TTGACCAAAGAAAATTCAGTGTGTTAGCTTCAGTACTTAAAAGAGTGACTCATCCAGAATTCTATGCATGAAGTGTAATAGGCTATGAGCTGCCTTGTGTGATAATGTTTGACTCTGGTCCAATGAAAGCACTGTCAACATAAGTAAAGACAGTAGGCCGGTGTGTCTCATGTTAGGAGGAGCCTAGTCATTATCTGCACACTTAGTCCACCAAATGCCTGGTTTCACTATAGTTAATCATCTCTTCTAAATTAGGCAATCTGCGAGCCACAGAGACCCCTCAGAAAAAACCAACTCTCTCAACACCGTGATCTGGGTCTTACTGTGAGAAGTAAATTTTTGTTGTTTGGTTATGGCAGCCCTGGTGAATGAACACACCCATTAAATTGGAATATCCAAGAAACTCTATTTCTGATCCCCACATTTGAAAAAAAGGAGAGCATTATATGACATATAGTAAACTGGACATATTTAAAGTAAACAACCTGATAAATTTTGACATATAGGTATATGGTAAATCATTGCCACAATTAATATAATAAACATGTCTATCACTCTCAAAAGTGTTCTCATGTCCTTTCATAATACCTTTCTCTCTAAATGCCCCCTCATTTTCAAGCAAGTAATGAATGCTTTTTACACTATATCTATCATTATAGGTCAGTTAGAATTCCATATAAATAAAATCATAAAATAGGTATAGTTTATTATTTCACCCTTTTATTTTTTCTTTATTGATTAAGGTATTACATATGTGTCCTTATCTCCCCATTGCCTCCCCCCCTCCTGCTCTTACCTCCCTAGTGTCTGTGTCCACTGGTTATGCTTATATGCATGCATACAAGTGCTTTGGTTGCTCAGCATAATTATTCTTTTAATTCATCCATGAAGATATATGCATTAGCAGTTTATTCCTTTTGATGGCTGAGTAATATTCTACAGTATGAACACACCGTTAATTATTTGTCCTTTCAACTGTTGATGGATATTTAATTTGTTTCCAGTTTTGAGTTATTACAAATATAGCTGTTATGAATATTCACATTCAAGTACCTAAATGTGACCATATCCTTTCATTTATCTTGGATGGTAGGTGTATGATTTGCTATTTAAGAGCCTATTGAAATATTTTCCAAAATGAATGTGTCATTTTGCATTCCCACCAGCAGTTCATGAGTTTCAGTTCCCAAACACTCCAACATTCAGAGTGTTCATTCATTTTATTTTATTCATTAAAAAGGTATTTATTATTAATCATTTTAGTTGTAATTTGTTATTTTCTCATAACTTATGAACATCTTTGCATACTAATTTGCTATGAATTTTGTGTGTATGTGAAGTGTCTGATCAATTTTTTTGTAGTTTTAGTTTTATTTCTTCTCATATTTGAGTATTGAGAGTTGATCATTTATATATTATGAATAAAAACTTTGTAATAAAGCTTTACATATTAGGAATAAAAGTACTTTTTATATTATGAAGAAAATCAGATATTTATTTAATTATCCCTTCAATCTCCTAAATATCTTTGAAAAAAGGAGACCAGCTTATTTTTGATGAAGTCAAATTTATTATTTTTAATGGAACATGCTTTTGGCCAATAATTTTATAACCCAAGGTCACAGAAATATTATCTTCTAAGTTTTTTCAGAGGATTTATAATTATAGGTTTTATATTTAGGTCTCAAGTAGATTTGGGGTTAGTTTTATATGATTCTAGGGTAATAATGGTTCACTATTTTTAACATATGGATATCCAATTGGCCATGTACCATTTGTTGAAAACACTCTATTCTCCCCTGCATTGTTTTAACAATGGTGCCAAAAATCAGTTGGCCATACATGTTTGAATCTATTTCTGGGCTTCAGACTTTTTCCCAAACCTGTTTAATTATATGTTTTTGTGTCAGCCATGCAGAAAATTTGAAAAAAAAAGTATAATAAACAACAGTATGTTCAACTTCAATTGGATGGTAGCTATATGATTTGCTAACCTTTTTTTATATATTTTCTTTGTTTCTTTAAGTTCTTTTTCTGTGTAACCCTCTCGCAGTCTGGGACCCCTCAGAGGATGTCCACCTGTTGGATTTGGCCTGCTCACTGGGGGATCAGGCCCATGCTGGCAGTCAGACATCCCTCTGGCAGCCCGGCAGCCCTCAGGGGATGTCCACTTACCAGCAGGGAGCAGACCTAAGCTGCAGTCTGACATCCTTAGTGCTGCTGAGGAGATGGGAGAGGCTCCCACCACCACCGCTGTGCTGGCAGCCATCAGCCTGGCTTGTGGCTGAGCAGAGCTCCCCCTGTGGGAGCGCACTGACCACCAGGGGACAGCTCCTGCATTGAGCACCTGCCCCCTGGTGGTCAGTGTGTGTGTCATAGTGACCAGTCATTCCCAGTCTTTCTGCTGTTAGGGTCAGGTTGCATATTACCCTTTTATTATATAGGATAGAGGCCTGGTGCACAGGAGGGGGCCGGCTGGTTTTCCCTGAAGGGTGTCCCGGATCAGGGTGGGG